CCCCCGGCTCCTCTCTCGGCGCTCAGCACCTGCTCTGGCGCCAGGCTGTTCCTTGGGCGCCGCAGAGCCTCCCCTGTACGGATCTTGCCTCTCATCTGCCCTCCCTGGGGCTCCCTCGAGGTTCCTAAGGTACAACTAGAGACCGGCCGCCTGGGGAGGCCTGGGCGCACACAGCTAAGGACGCCGAGCCCCAGGGCGCAGAAGTCCGAGAGGGACAAGCAGGTGTTTCTTCCTCCCCAGCCCCTGCTATTCTTAGAATTAAACCGTCCGCCCCAAGAGCATCTGGTCGCCCTGTGCCTCCTGCCCAGGTCCCCACACTCCCCGGGGAGTCCTGGCTGGCTTTGCTCTGGCGCGCTCTCCGAAGAGCGCAGGAGCGGGGGAGGATAAAACACGGATGCTGGGAGCAGAAAACTGAGGAAAGAGGAGGGACACAAACATCGGGAGGGGGGCCAAGCGGTCTCGGGCTGCCCCGTTCCCAGGGCTAAGCAGCGGCTGCCTGAACCTAGTGCCTCTGAGTTTTCCCTACAAAGAGGCCTTCCCAATGGACCTGGGCACTCCCCCCATCAGGCGAAAACTTGGTTCCAAAGGCAGATGAGAGGGCTGAAGGCTCAGGCCTGGGCCACCTGAACCAGAACACACTCACTCACTCCATGAACTCACACCCAGCCCCTAGCCCCCTCGCCTGTCAGCATCAAGGGCCCTGCCCCCTGCTCTACACCAGGCCCAGCACCAACCCAGGCTGGGTAGGAACACAGGTTTCTCGTCAGGGCTCTCACCCAACTCTTCCCTCCCTACTTCGTTCTCCTTTCTCCATTTTTCCTTGTAGTTATTTTTCTTCCTACTTTCCCCAGGCCCAATTCTGCTGACTGGTTAAACCTGGTACAACTTTGTGACTTTGTGGCCAACTTGCCAACAGCAAAACTGCTCCTGCCCGCTTTGCAAGTTAGTGAACCCAGGGGTTGCTCCTTAGCTGGGGAGGCAGGGCCAACACACACGCCTCTCCACTCCCAGCCGGCTCTCCTGCACCTGATCAGGCAACGGGCAAAGCTGTGGGAAGGAGGGCCGCTGCATGGTGGCCACCAGCCTTTTCCCTGTGTGGCAGGGACCCAGGTCAGTGTCCTCTCCCTGACATTGGTGGATCCCACCCCGGTGTGTGCAATGCATGGACATAGGAACCAGGCGGCAAGGAGTACTTTCTTTCCTCCCTTCCCTGTCTGCAGGCTCCAGAGGACCTCTCAGAGGCTGGGACCAGCGGCTGTGGGCACTCGGGATCTCACACACACCCTCTCCACCCAGATGAAAGACCCTCGCAGGCAAAGCAATCAGGAAACTCCAAGTCTGTCCCTCTTCCCCGCGCCTGGGCCGGCGGAAACTTTCTCCAACTGGCCAGGGGGTCGAGGCTTCTCTCCAGAGCTCGGCAGCCGCTGGCCCCCTGACCCGCCGGCCCCCATTTCAACCCTTCTCCCTCTCCCGGGTCCCGGAGACCGTAGCCGGGCCGCGGGGCCCCCGCCACTGACCTGTTCTTGGCCGCCGCGGCGCGGTCGCGCTGCCTCCGGTTCTTAAACCAGTTGCCTACTTGTGTGGGAGTGAGGCCGGTGGCCTGCGCCAGTTCGCGTTTCTTGCTGGGGTTGGGGTAGGGGTCCTGCAGGTACCATTCCCGCAGCAGGCTCCGAGTCCGCTCCTTGAAGCAATGCGTCTTCTGCTCGCCGTCCCAGATGGTGCGCGGCAGAGGGAACTTCTTGCGCACGCGGTACTTGTCCACCGGGCCGAGCGGGCGGCCGCGCAGCTTCTCGGCCTCCTGGTAGTGCGCCTCGAGCCACATGGCCTGCAGCTTGCCGTGCGACTCCTTGGTGAACTTGTGGTTCTCCAGGATGTGGTACAGGTCGCGGAAGTTCCCCGTGTGGAAGGCGACCACGGCGCGCGCGCGCAGGATGGACTCGTGCTTGTTGATGGCCTCGCACGCCCCGGGGGCCACGGGCAGCGACCAGAGGAAGCGGCCCAGCCGCTCGATGTCGCCCGTC